GGATTACAAGTGTGAGCCACCACACCCAGTCTCAATTGCCATCTCAGTGTGCCCCAGGAGTGGGGCCAGCATGGCAGGCCCGGGGATTGAACCCCTGGCCCCTGTGTCTGCTTGCAGGAGCTTTAATCTGCTGAGCTATTTGGCCAGCCCTCCCAATTCTTTTTAAAAAGTATGCATTCGTTTTCTAAAAGTGATTATCTTTAATACTTTGTTTCATCTGTTTATTTAGAGGGGGCTATATTCTTGGTACTTTCACTGTTTTTGGTAGCAGAATTCCCTTAATGTCACTTTACATTTCATATGGGAGACAACCAATCACTCACCAAATACACTGCATTAATACAGCGGTTGGTAGTTCTTTAATTTAAAAGACAATCGTGATGATCCCATTTGCAACTTGGAAATTACTTTTAAAATTAAGCGTTTTGTAGAAAGACATAATTTTATACATAAACTTAAAATTTCAATTCAGTATTCAATTTTTACCATAATAAAAATTATACACTACGCCTTCTTTGTAATATGGACAAGTAACCTAATTTTTCATTGTATGAAATTTCTCTTGTAGGACTGTTTAAGAACTTTTAAAAGTTCTAACTACAAGTTAACATGAATAGTACAATAGAAATCTATTTCTCTTATTAAATCACCAATCTTAACATCGAAACAAGTCAATTGTAAAAATGTAAACATGAGTAACTTATTATTTTGAAAAGCCTGAGCTTCTAAACAGTCTCAGGTTTACCACAGAAAAGAAAGAGGTGGTGAAGCGTGACATTTAGTAAAACTTGAGAGCCCTTAGCTTGGTTGTCAAATGCTCGCACTGTGTTTATTTTGCGGCAATGGTGGATGGTTCCTCAGTGAAGTCAAACCATGAAATGCCGCTCGATGTTAAAACTCCACGTGTTTTGGTGTGGAACATGGTTTCTTCCATATAGACAACCAGCCTCATCAAGATGGCCACTAGAAAAAAATTCAAAGACACAAAAGAAATTCAAGTATATAGAAATTGAAATTGCAGTATATAGAAAAAGGTCACACAAGTATAAATTATTAAGATGAAGCCTTTTTATGCAAATAGTATTGCATGTAGCGATCTTCATAGCTACCATTGTTTTACTTATTAGCACATGCTTGCAGTACGTCATGCCTACTTTCAGTGTGGAACTATGGTACACGTATGAACACATCTTCTCTTCTCCATCTCCTTCCTCCCTTCCCCTCTCTCCCCAAGTCTCAGTCCCTCATCCACTTTATTGTCCTCAGCTCCTTGTTTCCTTTTATCTGTCTTTCATTTTACTCTTTACATTTTTTATACTTTGGATTTCACATGCAGAAACCAGATGGTATTTAAGTTTGTGCATATGATTGATTTCACTTAAAATTATGTTTTCAAAAGACATGCATTTTCCTACAAGTGACTCAAGTTTTTCTTTATAGTAGAGTAGTACTCTACTGTGTATAAACACCCCATTTTCTTTAGCCAGTTGTCTGCCAATAGCCGTTAGGGTGCTTCTAAGATTTCGCTGTTATGAATTTTGCTAGATAAACTTGGGTGTACTTGTATCTCGGTAATAGGACATCATTCCCTCCTTTGTGAAAAAACCTAGCAGGGGAATAGCTAAATGGAACTTCAAGTTTTGGTTTGTTGAGTCATCTATTCTCTTTTCTGTCACCGCTGTGACCAGTCTCTATTCCCCCCAGCGATGTAGGGTCTTCCTTTATCAGCCCAGCCTCACCAACACTAGCTATTATTTGATTCCTTGGTGATGGCTCTTCTTTCTGCAGGGAGAGGGAATCACAGTGTGGTTGTACTTTTCATTTTGCAAATGGGCAGGGGTGTAGAGCACTGTTTTCATGTGTTTATGAAGCCTCTGAGTTTCTTCTGAGAGATACTATTATAAATTTAAGTCATTTTCGGACACAAGCCAGAAAATATTTCGATCAAATAAGTCCTATGGGAACATGGGTGTGCTAAAGAATAAAAAAAAAGTTCTGTGTAAATCAGACTGCAAACGCTGAAAGGGATAATTCTTAGAAAGCCAGTTCAAGAAAAGGTCGAAGTTATTTCCAACCATAATGAATGTAACATAAACGGTAAGCACAGTGATTTTCTTCACCTATCTATTAAAAGTCATAAAGCCTTGACATGACTCAGAATGAAATGAGCAACAGGGACAGATTAAGCAACATGCAAAGGTTACACATATCTGTTTGGGAAGGATTTAATTCTAAGATTTCAAGATACTTTCAATATCTGTATTATGTGCAATTAACAATTTATCAGGAATATACTGTTGTGATGCGGCCTAAACACAGAAAGTCAAACATATTCTTTTCAAATTTCCTTTCACAACTTGATCTTATAGTAATATTCTAAGTCTTCTCTGCCACCAGGCACAATCCGCTTATTGATACCTTATAAACAGAAGCCTGGATTTTCATCTTAAATAAATTGTATTCTTAAGTTACTGTATCTTTTTCTGAAGATACCAACTTAAGCAGAAAAGCACAAGAAGAGGATATTCATAATGACGATGCTCCTAATCAACTTCCAGAAGTTATAAAGGAAGAAAAGAAAGGGAAGAAAGAGCAGTACGGTTTCTAACAGTGTTATTCAGCTTGTTCTGGATTCTGGTGCAGGTCCCACTTTCATTGTGAATAAATGAGAAATGATAAGTAAGCATTAGTAAAATTTGGTAGTGCTAGGATATGTGGATTTCATTTTACAAAATTATCCACCCACAGTGGCTTTAAGATGAAAACAAAACAATCAAGTGTAGTTGATTGGCCTTTGACCCCATTTAAGAAGCCCTGGGATTGACCTATTCGAAATTTAAGGAAGATAAAAGCCTTAATGGTATTAATTTATATGTCTTACAATTAGGCATCAATCCATAGCACTCTTACATGAAGGTCCTTCATGTAATTAAGGACAGCTATTATTTCCCTCTAATTTCTTCAACTAATATTTCAACTATTATTTCCTTTAATTTTATTTTTTATTTTTGGCTGTACCGGAGACTGAACTCAGGACCCTGCACTTGCCAGGCAAGCACTTATTCTACTGAGCTATCTCCTCAACCCTCCTTTAATTTTCTGTGGGGTAAGAATCTAGATTCTTTATTCTTCTTTCAGTCTACTTGTGACCATAGTCAGATAAAAGCCAGGAAACCTTTTTATCAAATAAATCCTACTATACGTGGATATGATGTGGAAAATTCACTGTGAATCAGAATACAAACACTGTATGAAAGAACAATTTCCAGAAAGCCAGGGTAGTTCTAGAAGAAATGTAAGCGTGATCCTAAGATTGGCTGAAAAAGGTCAGGGGTTACAAGTAGACTGAAAGAGGAATAAAGAATCTAGATTCTTACCCCACAGAAAATTGAAGGAGGGTTGGGGAGATAGCTCAGTAGAATAAGTGCTTGCCTGGCAAGTGCAGGGTCCTGAGTTCAGTCTCCAGTACAGCCAAAAAATAAATAAATAAATAAATAAAATTAAAGGAAATAATAGTTGAAATATTAGTTGAAGAAATTAGAGGGAAATAATAGCTGTCCTTAATTACATGAAGGACCTTCATGTAAGAGTGCTATGGATTGATGCCTAATTGTAAGACATATAAATTAATACCATTAAGGTTCCTGGACACAGCATCATGTGAGAATATTAAATCCTTGACAACTCTGGAACAAATTGGGATTGTTGTAGTTTCTTGATATTTCAAGTATTGAACCTTAAGCCAAATAAGTATTTGTCAGGATATTTTGTAATTTATCTTTCCAATAATATGCAAAAGGTTGAAGTGAATAAACTTGGACAGAACATGAACACGGCAGCTACAATAACTGCAGTGCAACAAAACAGGGTTTCAAAGATCACCTTGTTTTTCATTAAATCACACACGACCTCTAGGGAAGGGCAGAGAAGAAGATTTAAATAATAAAGACTTGCGTACAAGAGTTAAGATAGCTTCTCCAACTGGAATTACGTTTCTCAGGGGAACAGAAGGAAAATAAAATTTAGAGTGCAGGCTGCTTTGTCCAAAATGAGGTTGTCAGTCACATTAGGGAGCTGCTCACTGCAGCGACAGTGCTGCGCTTACCAGGAGCCCCGGTTCGGGAGTGGGAGCTGGTTTCATGAACTGCTTGCTTAATTTCCTCTTCTGTTTCCTTAGATTACGCAGGTAAAGAATGCGCCTATCTGCGGACTGTGAGAATTACAGAAAGAAAACCAGATCACATTCTTTATAACATATACATAAAACACACAGCTCATATTTTTTGTTTAGTATCAATAAGAGATGACACAATTGACACTTAATTTTTATAAATGATGGAAGAAAAATCCCTTTCCATGGAATGTGTGAGCTACAGATTAAACAAGTACAAACAAAAGTTGCCTCCAATTGGAGCACATAGGGGGCTGAGGCAGGAGGGTCATGACGAATTGGAGGCCAGCCTGGACGCCAGAGTGAGTTCAAGGCCAGCCTGAACTGCAGAGCAGTACTGTGTTTTCAAAATTCAAAACAAGCACAACAGCCCCCAAAGCCCCATAAAACAGAGTATCAGCAAAGTCTTCATGAAGACTCGTCCTTAGTCCTGCTGCCACACTGTGCATAAACCCAGGTTCATGGACCTGTGTGCTTAATTTCATTTTGCATGTGATATTATTTAAATCACCAAAGAGATTTTCTTTATAGAATAAAAGAAAACATATAATTATTTATCCCTGTTAAATGTTGCATTTCATACATGGCTTTTTATGTCTGCCTTGTTTGGCGTCTACAAGTAATAGGAGACTTGGACAATTAACTTAGAATGCTTTGAAGGTCATAAAACGATATAAGAAAGAGAGTACAGCGGCTCATGCCTATAAGCATGCTGCAAGTTCAAAGCCAGCCTGAACTGCGTAGCAAGACTCTGAATCTAAGCAAATAAGAACATTAAATCTGAGAACCCTTTTATTTACTGCCACCAACTGTGTAAATTAGTACAAGTTGTTAAAAAGGAATGTGACACTATCTTTAAAACAATGAAAATTTTGATGTCCTTATATTCTAGATTACATCCTGCCTAAATAATCTCATGATCCTCTTGTACATGGGGGAAAATATACTAGGTGCTCACAGTAGCGCTACTAATCGCAGGAAACTGTGGTACTGACCCAGTGCTTATAGGAAAGAGAGAAGATTAGTGAGCCATGACATGTTCTATGACATTAAAAAGCAGCAAAATTAAGGACTCATAAGTGTACACAGCAATGTAGACTAACTCCGCAAAACAATATTGAGAAGAAAGAGTAAAACGTGCACTGCATTTTGTTTCTTATAAATTTAAAAGCAACCAAAAGTCAAAATTACACATACAGAGGAACACAGGTAACAAAGCTATTAAAAGGAAGAGATGGGGGCTGGGGAGATGGCTCAGTGGAATAAGCACTTGCCTGGCAAGCGCAAGGGCCTGAGTTCAATTCCCGGTTCCACCAAAATAAATAAAAATAAAATGGAAGAGATGGATAAAAATAAAATTCAGGATAGTAGTTGTTACCTGTAAAACAGATTGAAGGAAGGAAAACATTTAGTCTTTAGGCAGGTTCAAGTATATTAGAATGGCTTTATTCTTAAAGTGGAAATGTATTGTTTTACTGTATTTACAGGTTATAATACCATACATGCACGTACGTATTTGTGAATGTATCAAATGTCACATTTAAGGTGACAATATGAGCCATTTCACTTGCTCTAATTAAGACCCACTCCAGTAGCCCTGTCAAGATCCCAGAGTTTCAAGACAGACATCAAGCAAATGTCTAATTAATAGCAGCGCTCAGGGTTGGGGACAGCTCAGTGCCTGCCTGGCCTGTGCAAGGTCCTGAGTTTGATTTTTTGGTACAGAGAACAAGAACAAAAGCAATGTGCTACCAAAAGGGGCCACGACACAGAGAGGAGGAAGCCAAAAGTGCAGTGTGGAAACAAGCAGACTTTATTTAAATGTCACCTAAGGGCAGGGGTGATGGCTCAGTAGAATAAGTATTTGCCTGGCAAGCACGAGGGCCAGAGTTCAATCCCCAGTACCATAAATAAATAAATAAATTAATAAATAAATTAATAAATTAATATTACCTGTCTGGCATTGACTTCTGAAGGATGAGGACGTCTTGGTCCTTCCTGTGTGAGGCAACAGCAAAATGTACAGGTAAACACACCAAAGCGTGGCCACAGCAGAGGAATAAAATGGTTCTAAGGAGAGGCTTACGCTACCCTTTTACTCAAGTAATGCATGAACACTATGTCAACTAGGAGAAGCAGGAGAACAATAAGAACAATCTAAGGTACAGTGGAACCTGGACAATGGAGACAGTACAATGAGAAAAAAGAGCCAGCTCTGAATTCAACTACAGGGTACAGATAGAGCACTGAGATCTCTTCCAAGGCGAAGGATGTACAACAATTTCATTTTAGAAATCGCATTCTTGCTGGTGTTTGTGGTGGTGCCCTGCCTTTAGCGGGGAGAGGGGGCAGCCTTCAATCTATCTTCCAAATCTTGGGAAATCTGGGGTGACCAGAGTAAAGAGGCTCAAGGAGCTTGACTATCAATTTTTGAGGATCTCATTTCTTACTCTAATTTTTAAACTATCCTTTAAACACCCAGCACCCATTTTAATCCAGCTTTTTAGCATGGAGACCCCAAAATAATCTCTGGCACCTCAGGGTTAGGAATTAGGGCTGGAAGTGGGGTGAGGTATGTGGGGAAACTCACAGGGTAGACTTGGGCGGGCTCATCGTCCTGGACTCTCAGACACATGGTGCCCAGCGCAGCGCCCTGGGGCGCCTCCTGCCTGTGTGGGGCCTGGAGAGCCTGGCCCCTCCTGGTCACGCAGCCCCACCCTGCCTGTTGATGTCACTGTCACAATCCTCATTGTCTCCTGGGGGTGGGGGGCACCCTGTGTTCCAAACTTGGAATGCAGTGCCCTGCCTTATGCCTGGAGTGCGTGCTTTGTGAATGTCACGTTGCCATATTCGCCCATTGCTTGTTCCTCTTGCTCAGAAAACTGCCCATCTCACGTCTTGCCCTGTCCTCATCTCTGTTCTCCACGGAGCCCAGCACAGAGACTGCACTTGGTCATGCTAGTCTGACTGTGACCGACATTCTCAGTTCTGCCACTCTGTCACCTGGGCTTCCGGCTAAGCCAGCCTCTCCGTCTATCTATTCCAGGCTGCTGGGTGGAGCAGGTGCTTGAAGGGGATTTTTGGAGCTGTCAGCAGTTGTCATTCAATAATCGGAGGCTGCAGCAGTCATACCAAGATAAATCAGGAATTAAGAGTCCTAACCATACCCTCACACTGTGACCCAGATAATCCTGCTTTTATTATTTTTACATCAGTCCAGTATATCAATAGTACTGAAAAACAAGAAAAAAAACACCATTAAGAACAGTTTTTATAGTTCAGTTTACACTGACCACCAGTCAGATGGGTTTTGTATTTATGTAAAATGAAATGAATGCTGGCAGTGAGTCCCCCATTGGACTCCTAACTCCGAAATGATGCCTGGGTCCCCACCACCGCTTGTTACTCCTTTATGCTGTGTGTGCTCTTTTCTGCTCCGTGCAGCAGTCCCTGCAGACTGTCTTGCCTGGGTGAAACCTCAGAAGCTCCGACTCTCACTCTCTTCTAGAACCGGGACGAGGCTTCACGCACTGCCGCTGAGCTGCGTAGATCGAGCTCAGCGTGCTGAGCCGCGTTCGATAAAGTTCTACATACTCACTGATCAGCTCCCCAGACAACCACCAGGAGTAAGTGGATGATTATCATTCAAGCGAGGCACTGCGGTGTTCAGCGACTTTCCCACATGCACTTAGCAAGGAGCAAACAAGGTCTGACTCTTGGGCGTGTGCTCCTAAGACACAGGCCCGCGCTACAAAGACACAGGTCTGTGCTACCAACTGTTCTGGAACTCCCAACTAGAACTCCCGCAGTCCCTTACTCTCCATTAGCCTCTTGTAAGGTTTTGCCGTGGGACCCCAGGGAGAAGTGGCAGCAGGAGTGAGGAAAAGATAGACAAGACAAGAGCTTGGTTCAGGTGGAGGTCTGTTTGCCTGACTGGCAAAGGACCCCAAGAACAATTGTAGGAGTATTTATTTATACTGTTGCAAAGTTAGTATCACATGACACAAGGTCGCCTAGTGACTAATGACTGAAATTGTCCAGGCAGGATGCTTTTCTCAAGGCTGAGGCAGCTTGACTGCTTTAGGCCCTGAGGCCCTGTCCTGCCCTCCCACATGTGACCAATTTTCAGTCTCAGTGGCTCCCAACATATCCCCCATTTTTGTTTTGTTCTATGAGTGATGGGTGTTCCTTTGCAGTTGGAGAAGCTGTGTTTGGAGGGCTGTTTAAGACCTTTTCATTCTTGATGCCAGTCCAAGGATTTTGGTACTGTATACAACAGTTTAACCCTATATAGTCCAATAGTCTATAACAGTAGTGAATTATCAGTACAGCTGGCAATTGTCTGAAGTCCTTAGTGATTTGAGCTATCATATTATACATCATATTATTATATCATTGCTTTTATAGCTAGCATATTATTACATCATCGTTTTTTTATATCTCATGGTTGCACTTTTCTGCTGATTGGTTAAGACCAAATTAAAGAAAGACCTGCACGGGCTGGTGAGATGGCTCAGTGGTCTAAAGAAAGACCTGCATAAATAAAAAATTAACTTCTTGCTGTCTATAAGGTCAGTTAAATCTCCTGAGGATTTACCTTGGAACCATGCACAGCACCTGTTAGGTCTTCTGTCAGTGTCAGCCATCTGGATGAGTCATGGAAATTGCTTGATCAGTTTGTTCTCTGGGAAAGCCTGAGAGATTTTATCTCTCTAGGTGACTCTCCTTAGGCACACTCGACATTGTTGAATCATCCTTGAATCATCGTGGTCCCATAATCTCCTTGGCCAGAAAATCAGGGACTCCACTGAGTTATAGGATGTCACAGCAGAGGTTTTCCTATGTTCTGCATCCTCATTGGCCTCAGAGGGATAGGGCTAAAATATTGGCTATCCACTTTGCACATCTCTCATTCTAATATTTGGTCTCCACACAGCCACAGAGAAGCTTAGTGACATTACCCTGTAATGGAGGCAGTAAGCTTAACGTTACTTTCTCAATATCAAGCACCTTAGATATGAAATGGAACTATTAAAAAAAAGAGGGCTGGGGAGATAGCTCAGTAGAATAAGCACTTGCCTGGCAAACACAAGGTCCTGAGTTCAAAGCCTGTATCACACACACACACACACAAAAGAAAGAAAGAAAGAAAGAAAGAAAGAAAGAAAGAAAGAAAGAAAGGAAAATTGAACTATTATTTTCTTCCAGCAATGGATATTCCAATATTTAAATCCCAATAACAATTACATATTTTTTACACAAATGTAAAAATCTAAACCACATATAACGTTGCAGCATGGCAGTCATGATGATAGTTTGTGACATACTTTAATTTAGATTCTGACAAAACGGAGCCCATTTAATGAATCATCTCCAATAATCAAACACTTTTGCCTAACTTGTCCTTCCTTTTGTTTTTTGACAGATCTGGGGATTGAACTCAGGTGCTTGTGCTTGCCAGGCAAGCACTTAGTCTACTGAGCTATCTCCCCAGCCCCTAACTTGCCATTCTTTAATGGGATATACATTACAACTTTTTGTTAAAGGTAGAGGTCTGAATCTAAAAGAAGTCTTTTCAAAATAAAAAATCTTTGTTTTATATTTTGGAAAACTTGTACATCTGGAATCATGAATACATTTAACACAACATGAGATAAACAATAATGACTTGCCATGCACATGTGAAAACCTTTCCTTCTTAATTTATTTTTATACCAAGATCATCTTCTATGAGAAAATCTTCTTCTAATTTTTTTCTGAAAAACATTATCATTTAACCTATGACCAAATTATTGGAGGTGTCTCCCAAGAGACTTTGGAGATTATTGGGGGCTCCTTATTAATGAACAAAGATTAGATAATCCTCTATACACCAGTTGGAGCCCTGTCTGATAATCTCTCTCCACTGTTATGAAATTTTGCTAATTATCTTAAAATTTTTAATGACCTGTGAACAAGCCAATTTTGTTATCACTTAGACCAGCTGGTAACTCAGGAAAAAGCAAGCTTTTAACCTCAAATAAAAAGAGGAACAGATATTCATGGGATGACATACAGACACATAAGCAAGTATACAGAACTCACAAACTTCTTTACAAAATCAGAGTGCTCTTAAATATATTCTTTTTTTCCAAAGTTTTATTGATAAACAGATAGCAATGAGACAGTTTCAAATCAAATCAGAAGTACAGTTTCAACAAATAATACACTGCATATATTCTTCTTAGTGGTTAATTGCTGTACAAGATGCAGACTTGTGATCCTA